TTATATATGTAATATGTTCTATTTTGTAAATAATATAATGTTGTCTAGCCAAAGGATTGGAAGAGGTCCATATTTGTTCCTATTCCCAAGAAGAGTGATCCAACTGAATGTGGAAATTATCGATTTATATCACTTACTAGTAAAATACTGCTAAAGATCATTCAAAAATGGCTAGAACAGTACATAGATAGGAAATTGCCAAAAATTTAAGCAGGATTTAGGAAAGACCCTAGCACCAGGGATATCATTGCTGATGTCAGATGGATCCTGGCTGAAAATAAGGAATGGCAGAAGAATGTTTATTTGTGCTTTTTGACTATGCAAAGGCATTTGACTGTGGATTATGACAAGTTGTGGCTGACATTGCAAAGAATGAGAATCCCAGAGCACTTGATTGTGCTCATGAGGAACCTATACCTGGGTCAGGAGGCTGCTGTGTGAACACTGTATGGTTTGGAATTGGGAAAGGAGTGAGTCAGGAATGTATTCTATCTCCATACCTGCTCAATCTATATGCTGAGCAAATAATCCGAGAAGCTGGACTCTATGAAAAGGAATGTGGAATCAGGATTGGAATGAGACTCATCAATAACCTGCATTAATGCAGATGATGCAACTTTACTTGCTTAAAGTGAGGAGGATTTGAAGCACTTATTGCAGAAGATCAAGGAATTCAGCCTTCAGGTATGCATTGTGTCTCAATATCAAGAAAACAAAGATTCTTGCCACTGGTCCAATAGGCCGTGTCATGATGGATGAAGAGGAGATTGAAACTGTCAACAGCTTCATCTTGCTGGAATTCACACTTAACATCCTTGGTACAAGCAATCAGGAAATAAGGAGACACTTTGCAATGGGAAAATCTGCAGTTAGGGACCTTTCCAAATTATTGAGAAGAGTGATGTCACTTTGAGGACTAAGGTGTGTCTAATTCAGGCCATGGTCTTTCTGATTACTAGCTATGCACCTGAGATCTGGATAATGAATAAGGATGACAGAAAAAGAATTAGTGCCTTTGAGTGGTGGTGTTGGAGAAGGGCACTGAACATCTCATGGATGA